TGGGGGGCATCGAGATGAGGGGGCCTGAGGAGATGGGGGTCAGGGGAGATGGGGTGCCGGCAAATGGGGGGCAGGGAGATTACAAGGTGGGGGGTGGGAGGGGGAGGCAGGCAGGAGGACAGTGGGAGGGAAGGGAGGGGAGAGGAACACCATCTGAAGTGAGAGGGGGGTGAGAGGGCGCCTGGTGGCGGTGCAAGCTCTTTGCCCTTCCTCTGAATGCCATGAAGGACTTGGGGGCCATGAGGGGCTCGGAGCATGAGGGACAGGATCTGACATAGTTTAGGCGGCCCCCTGGCATTAAGAAGCACGTTAGGAGTGGGTTGTAGGTGTGCGGGTGCGGCAGGCAGAGAGGGCTTCCAGGACACAAGGTAGGTCATGTGACCAGGGAGGTGTGCACTGACCCCGTGTTCTGGTGACCCCGGACAGGAGCGTCAGCGGCCTGTGGGAGTGCTGATGTCCTCGGTTTATGGGAGGCGCATACACCAGCCCGTGGAGCCCCTGAACCGGGACCATGGCCGAGCCAACCACGTGAAGGCTGACTTCTACAGGAAGAACGACATCCCCAGCATCAAGACGCCTGGCTTTGGGCACGTTTCTCCAGCCTGATGCCCCCGCTGTGGCCCGGACCGTGGGGTGGCACAGTCGGGCAGCGCCGGGGCCTTATTGCACCCCCCGCTTCACTGGGGTCAGGGAGCTGGCCTGAGCCGCTTGCGCCTGGACAGTGGGGGGACGGGCCCGGGAGCCCCTTTTCCTCATGTGGCCGTGGTGAAGACCTTGGCCAAAGGCCTTTACTACCTGTGATGAACATCTCGTGGGATCATGTCAGCTGAAATGATGCCACAGACTGATCCATTGTGAGCACTTGAATAAAAGGAAAAGTGTTCCCACTTGACCGTGGTCTGGGGACTCTGTTCACTGTTTCTCTGGTTTGCCAGGCTCTGGGGGGGTGCTCCCAGGAGGGGCGTGCACACCCTTTCTCACCAGCTATGGAAACCTGGGCTGCCTGAGTCTGCCTTCCTCCAGGAGGAGATATAATGTTATCTCCTTTTGGAATAATTGAGCTCCAGATCCTACAACATCCACTCCCCCGCCCCACCCCAGAGGACTGAGCTGTAAATAACACAAGTTTGCACAGTTGAGGACAAAAGCCTGGTAGGGATGGGTGGTCTCTGTGGCCAGTAATGCCGCTGTCCCTCCTCGCCTCAGGTCCTGGGAAGAGATTGGGCTTTGGTGTAAAATTCTGGCTCCTGCCTTTCCCAGCGGCATGGGTACCGAGCCCATCATTTCACCGATCAGAGCCCACCTTTCCTCTTCAAGTGGGAGTTCCAAACCGTGAGGAGTGTGTGTGGGACTCAGTGGTCCAAATGCAGACACGAGAGCCCAGGACGGTTCGTGCGAATAGTTTTCATTTTGGAAACACCTGCTTCTCCCCCTAGTTGGAAATGTTTATTTTGGAGATAATTTGAAACTTATTCAAGTATTAAGATACCGGCTGTATTTTTAATGAATCGCTCTCTTGAAAGAAATCATCCCTCACCTATCACAATTACATTTCCCACAGCTTAGTGGTTAATGAGCAGGTGATCTAATTAATTTTACTGCTGATTTCCCCATGGCTGGTTTTATTGTTTTGATTCTCTAAGGACACGTGACATTGACTTATTGACAATTTCAAGCCAAGTGACCCCTACGTGTTTCTTTATTCTTTTGAAAAAATTTTTTTGGTTTCACTTGTAGGTGCCTTTTATTATTTTTCCCCCCAAACACATAGCTGTAGCTTATTTGGGATGCCTTTGGGTACCTTAAGCTATATTTTATAATAATATAATAGAAAAATATATCAAGTTTGGATTTTGGAAATTTTTATCAATTACTTTCTTCAGTTTCGACTACCAAGCAGGACAAGGCATCTCTAAGAAATGCCTTCATCTGAAAGTGACTACAATAAGTCTATGTCAAACTAAATTATTTTCAGTTACTTTAAGTCAGATCTTACTCCCTTAACCTTCTACTTTTAAAAAGCAAGGCCTGAATTGGACAAGGTTTTGAAAGGTCTCCTGTTTGTTAGGCATCAGGGGAAAATTAAATGTATTTCTGTTGGCATCTTGACTTCTACAGCTTAAAGCCAATAAGCGCCCAGTCACCTTATAAAAGAGAAACAGAACAAAAGAATTTGTTTTGATGTATCCAATCTCCATGGTTAGTCTATCTTTCTTGGAAGGCAGAGTGGTGGCTGTCCTTAAGAAAGCATAACGAACTGGGGACAAGGGGCAACGTGGAGGATTTGCGACAAGGCAGACATTTCTAAACAGATGTAGGAAATGCAGCAGGTTTAATGGGACTACACGCAAGGCATTTTCCTGAGAGAGGGCTTTCTGCAAGACTCGAAGGTTAAGGAGAATGTTGAGGAGAGATGCTTGCTAGCTACCAAGGTCACTGGGCTGGCCGGCCGTCTTCATGGTTTGCTCACAGGAATATTTGCAGCTCCAGAGCTTATGAAGCCTTGACCAGGAGGCACGCTTTCAGATTTAGGGAGCAGGCTGTTTTGCATTCTAGGCTCGTCTTGGTCACTGATCGCTGGGAAGCTCTAAACAAGCCCCTGGTCCTCTCTGCACCCGTTTTCTCATTTGGAAAGCACAGGGGAGGGCTCAGATTGTGGACCGGAGTCCCCTGGAGAACGAGTTCCCTAAACACAGTGTGTGTGCTGGGCCCCACCGCCAGGACTTCTGACTTGGCGGGTCTGGGTTGGGGCCCGGAAATGTACAGGTCCCCAGGGGGTGTCGCTGCCGCTGGTTGGGGCCCATACTTTGAGCAACCCATGTGTGCGCAGACCTTTGCAAGGTGGACTCTGATAATGACTTTGATTGCTTTATAAAGTGTCTTGTTTGGTAAGCCCCACAATATAGTTTTGGGAAAAAACAAGTCTCCTTTTGAGTTCTTTTCACCAAGCTCAGCACATCCTTGGTGGGGGCAGACAGCCATGCTTAAGCACACTTGGCAAGTCACTTAACTCTGAGTGTCCGCTAAGGGGAGGTGACATAAAGCAGCCTGGGATAAGTGCTGCAGACTCTCAGGGAGGAAGGACCCGCGGGGTATGGCTGCCGACTGTGGTTACGAATGATACAGAAGGCCAGTCTCAAGTCACTGAAACCCCAGGCCTTCCTAGTCCGGATCTCCGTTAGAGCAACGACAGATGCCCTTACACTAGCTTTCTTCCTTTGGTCACCTTTATGAGAATTAGGTGTATCAAGGCCAATGCTGAGATGCAATTACAGGATCAAAATATTCCTGACTGAGGCAGGCAATGGACCAAGTCATGCTGTATTCCCACTTGGGTGATGGAGGCCAGTTACTAGGTTCGAGAAGCGCTTTCACCTGAGTCTGAGTCAAAATCCTGGCATGGAGGCTCTGGGTAGCTGCCAGGCTCTCTCACGGTCTTTAGCTCTTTCACTCAGACCCGATCCCATAAGCTATCAACGAGGAAATACCCCTAAGAGAAATTAAGAGATATGTTCAGAGTCACACAGCCAATAAACGATCAGTCAGGAATCAAACGAGGGCTCGTGCTCCGGGTCTGAGTTCCCAGGAACAAGCTGTTCCTGACAGATCGGGGTCCCCCAAGGCTCACAGACGCCTGCCCTGAGCTGGGAGGAGAAGCCGGGCGTGCATCTGCCGCTTTGCTTCTAAACATCAGATTACGCATGATTGCTCTATTTTTCACCCTTTGACAAAGTACGATTTCGTTATGTGAAGGAAACGCCCCAAAACTTTAGAGATGGATTTTCATGAAGAAAATCTCCCAAGTCTTCTCTCTTCAAGAATGTGTAACATTGGCTCTGTGCCCTCTTAAGCCTCCTCAGACGTAACAGGCATCGTACGGGGCCTGGCCGCTTCTTCCGGTGAGTCCAAACTATTGTGTTGGCTGCTGATGTACAGTCCGTGCTAAATTATTCTCCCGCAGCCGGCGGCCAATGGCTGTACCGAAAGCATTAAGGCAGACCAGAGAACTTGGACAGAGAGAGAGGGTGTTGCTGCTGGTAGAGGATCCTTTCACTATTAAAATATTTTTTCCCGGAAAATGTTCTCTAGAGATGCCAAAGTGAAAGCCAGACCGCAGGACAACACCGAGCGTCTCCAGGGAGCGGTGGGATCAAGTATGTGCATCACAGCCTTCGTCCTGATCTGAATTACTCAAAGATAGCTCAACCTTTGCTTCCCGGGAGCTCTTTCTGCAACACCCGTCAAGCAGGAGAAGGGAAAACAAATCCCAATTCTGGAGCGGAACCCGCAGGAGAGGGCAGAACGGGCGGTGGGTAAAGATATGGACTCTAAACCAAAGTACATAAAACTTTTAATGAATCAACCTTACAAAAGACAATGGCATCAAAACATCAGACGCGTTTGGTACAAAACTGGGTCTAGGCTGTGAGAACTAATCCTGGTGATGGATGGCACGAGACATGACACAGCAAGGCGACAGGACCACGGATCCTGCTGGGGCCCGTGGACAGCCACTGGCGATGGGACACGTGGGCAAACACAGTCAAATCCCATGTGGGGTGACAGAAATCAACTTATTCACAAATACTGTGTGTTTTAATACCAGACTAGCGGATGCGGTTGGCGAGCTACCATATTTTCCAGAAAAGAACATGCACCAGAAGATAATATACACCCCCTAGTTTTATTGCCTTAAGAATTTTTGTTTATTTCACGTCCGTCGTCTTTGTGAGTCCGTTGAACGCGTCTCTCCTATACACACACTCCTTTTCCTTCTGCTCCGGAGTAAGCACAGTGCGAGTGGCAGAACGATCTTGGCACACGTCAGACACCAAACGGTATGCCACCAGGGTCACAGGAACGAGTCTGAAGAGGCTCCATAGGACAGAACAGAGCACACACATCAAAAACGAGGGACAAAAGTTGCAGTCAGAAAGTGCGTTGTACCTTCCGAAAATACAGTCTTCTTGCCAAAATGAAGGCAGCTCTTCAGGATGCCAAGTTGCTCTGGGAAAGGGACCTTGACATTTCTGTGTTTACAAAGTAAGTCTTCAGCTCCCCCTTGCCTTTCACGTTGATTATTCCCCGACATGTGCACGTGTACCCCAGGGTCTGGAGGATGAGGCTTGTCTCCTCGGTGACCTAGAAGCACACGGACAGATGAAGAAGCGGTCAGTGTCTCCGCCACAAAGCCTCTGGGAGGTCATTTGACCACAAAGATCAAGAGCCAGAAGACACTCACATTCTTTGACCCATTCATTCCACTCCTGAGAAATTAGGAGAAAGAATAACGCAGAAGAGCTTTTTAAGGACAATGTGTGGTTTTGTGCTGTGACAGTGATAGACTATGAACCACCTAAAAGTCAAGTGAGCTCCAGGGTGAAGTGAACCATGAGGCTGTCATGATCCATATCGCGGACGAGACCGTGACATAAGGAGGTTTGTTTCACCCCAAAGGAAGCATGAAGCCTGGATCCACGCTATGATTTCAACTATGTGACGGTTACGTATTCACATATAAGAAACCAGGGAAAAAGAAAGTAAATCAGAATATGTTGGAGTGTTGGGATTCTGGATGATCTGTATAAATGGTCACGAATGTCATCTCACGAAATCATGAATAGGAATAATAGATTTTAATACAGGTGGGAGAACACACCCTGGGGAGACCGTGGGTTCCTGCAAAGGGCCCCATGCTTTGGGTCGCATGCTCAAGAATAAAAATAAAAGGACACTAGGGGTCCACACTAGCCTTAGCCTGGCCACGACACACCGGGTCAGGTCTTGCAAGTTTCCTCCCTTCACTGAATTGACAGGAGCTGTGAACGGCTGGGCCCCTCCTTTGCAGCCCTTCGATGGGACGGATGGGTGATCCCTGCCACTGCCCCATGCGGCAAGGAGCCTAACTGCAGAATCGCATTCGGGTCCTGCTGGGCCACATGGCAGTTAAGTTCCACGCAGGATGGCTCCCCTGTTTGAGGGGAGATGGGTTGTACTGAGCCTGGCACCCTCTCAGCCTGAGTGTGCACTGCGCTCTCCTCGGGAGCCACGTCTGGGGACGGCAGCCCGGGCCTGCCGGGGGTCCGTCTGCTCGAGTGCTGGCGAAGCCTCCTGCTAAAGATGCTTTCTCAAGCAGAGAATGGGTGGGGGCTGGGGAACAAACTCGGCTAAGAATAGGCCTCAGCTCTGGAGGTGAGAGAAGACCCTCCTGTCAGGAACAGGGCCCCCAGTTGGGCCTCCCAGGAGATATCAGGGTCTTGAGTAGAGAGGGAGGGAGCTGTCTTTCCAGAAATTCCTGCTAATGCTGCTCTGGAAGTGTGTGAGAAAGCAGAGGAGGTGGGATTTCCTCCCACTTCATCAGAGGAAATGGACATTGCCCCGGGGTGGGGGGGGAGGGTCACGCGTCCCTGGCCACCTCAGGCATGCGGGTGACACACGTGTGCTGGGCAGGCCTGTGGACAGCACAGCAAGGCTACTGCACAATTTTGCTTTTGGAGCAGGCACCATTGGGGGACCATGCGGTGAGACAGCCTCCTGGGCCTGGTGGCTGAGAGAGGTGTCCGGGGCAGATACTGCCGGGGGCAAAGGCAGGAGCACATCAGAACCACAGGAGAACCCAGGAAGGTACACAGGGGCCCCCCGAAAGAAGGACGAAGTGTGTGGTATAAAGATCTCCAGAGCAGGCTGCTGGAACAAGCTAGAAAAATCACTCTGTCTTCCTGTAACTTGACCCCATGGCCAGCCCCAGCACAGTGGCCGGTGTGGGTCCTTGGGACCCTTATGACCAGAGCAAGGAAAGGGGGACGCAGGTGCCAGATGCTCACGTCCTCCCCTCCCCTAGGATTGGGTCCAAGTCCTGGGGGAGGACAGCTGAAGTCAGCAGCCCAGGACGGACTTTGTATCCTGGATAAGAACCGAAAGAATATGGAAGTAGCCGAGAAACTCAGAGAACAGATACGTCCTCCTGATCCGAGTCCTCAGGGGTCATCAGAATTAGAGAATCCTAGAGGCCTTTGACTTCTGACCTTCCCCAGAGAACACACACATCTTTTGGAGCCTTGGGGGTTCATTTATGGGCGTGGAGCATCGCCACTGGCTTCCGTGAGCTACCCGCTGGAATGGGGAGCGCCAAGCACATGACTGCTGTGGCGTGAGCAGGAGGGCACTGTCTCCCGGGCGGGCGCCGGCTAGTATTCCTCCAAGTCCAGGGGAAGCCTGGATGCGTGGCGCGTGGGCTCTCTCTGCTGCTCGTTGGGCTTCCAGGCGAGAAGGCACGGTGCGAGTGGAATGCTCTCTCATCAAAGGAACCTGTTCCTCAGGCCCGGGAGAAGCTCTGTAATGATCTCAGCACCATTTATTTTTCCTGGCATCTCACTACTTTTCTTGCACATAAGAGGAAGCGCAGAGCTACCGGGGGTGGAGGGACCACCGCGCCCTCAGGAGAAGGAATCCGCTGGACACAAACCTCCGAGCAGCCGTGCTGCGTGAACACACACAGACCTGCGGACGAGCTGCTCTCCTGACAGCCAGAACCCTGTCCCGTCTCCTCCGGGCTCCGAGTGCGCAGGGAATATCCCGGGGGCTGCTCAGCCCTAAATCACCTGGAGCTTTACGATGCCCCATATCCTCCTGGAGACACACAGGAGCTCAGGCTTGTGTGAAGCATTGATCTGGAGGGGATTTACGAGCTCCAGGGGGGAGCACTCTCCCCGACCCTCTCTCAAATTGTTTTGGATACTTATCCCAAGTATTTGAAAACCACCTGGAGAGTCGTGAAGCATGTTAAGGCCACCATTCATCTTCTGAATGTTCCAGGAGCATGGAGGGGGCCTAGGGTGGCCTACAGGTGGGAAAGGTGTCTGGTGGGAGCACCCCCTCCCCACACCAAATGGAAGACGCCATGTTGTGCAGGCTTGCTGGACCATCCCTGCGCAAGGGGAGTTGCTGGGGACACGCATGCAGGAAGGCCGAGAGGCCGTGGTGCCATCGGGACATGGTGCCTCTCGCGGGAGGCAAGCGGGCCGTCTCCACGGACTGACCACCGCTCAGCCCCACTTCTGTGAGAGCTCCATCTGGACTGGCTCTCGTGAGCACAGCCAACTGGCTCTTTCCCCTGGCAACGGCAGTTTGGCTGGGACACCCACGTCACTTTCCACCTCTCCCCTCTCTGTTGCTTGGTTGCTCACTTTCAGCAACGGTTGACTAGTCATCTGGCTGGAAAGAAGATGAACACTTAGAAGTAATGTTGGTCCCGTTCCATATAAATTAAGGATATGCTCTAGGAAGTTCATAGAAATGGAATCCTCTTGAATGAATGAGGTAGGGAGTGTGAAAGGCAAGTGAGCAGAAGCCCACTCTTGATGATATCGGTGCTGGGTTCTCCCACAGAAGTCAATAGAGAACTCTAAATCTCTACCATGATGTGAGGAGGCACGGTTCCCTGAGGACACTGGACAAGCCAAGGCACACAGAACAGGGACTGACAGAATTCTCAGTGAGGGAGCAAAAAAAAAAAAAAAAAAAGCCTATTACTTGTGTCCAGTGGTTTTCATACTAATTTGCCATTTGGCAGGAATTTATTTTCTAGAATAAAACAAAGCTGCAGTGAAATGTGGAACCACTGCTCTTTAGGGTGAGGCAAATAGAAAGTTCTACATAGACACACACACGCACACTTTCTTCCCATTAGGAGTCAGTCTCTCCTTCTAGGTGTCTGGCACCATGCTCAAGCATCCTCCTTTGGGGGGATTCCTGCGCTTTCACATCATTCTAGATATCCAAATCCATGCTGGTCCGATTTGGCACTGCTATTACGTATCACCCGGGATCCTACCTCTCGTCTTTCCCCAGTGGGCTCTTTTCCCGCCTCCTCCCAATTCAGCCTCCGGGACAGGAAGTCCGGGGGTTATGTCTGGTGTTGGTTATACCATCCCTCTCCCTTGCAAAGCGCCTTTCAAGGTGCTGGGGCTGGAAGACAGAAGAGGAGGGAAAGGTCCTGCCCTGACTTCACACTCAGGTATCTGACTGCTATGTTGGTTGTTGCGATCATTGACTTTCGTAAAGGCAATAATCTTTATATTATTACATCTCTATATTATTGTTAATAGTGAGGGCAGAAATCAATTAACATTTCCCCAATAAAAAAGGACTTCTGTCAATGTCAACATGTTTCAAGGTTTTCTCAAGATTTAAATAACTTCCAAGGTTCTTTGTTTTAATATATTATAATCATAATTATCACGCTTATTTATGGTTTCCAAGAGGACAGAACTGGCCGATGCTGACAGAGCACACTGAATTACCTGTATTTTGTCCAGTACGCCAGTGCTGTCCATCCTGCTGGCCACATTTACGGTGTTGCCCCAGATATCATACTGTGGCTTCTGAGCTCCAATCACACCAGCTATCACAGGTCCATGGTTAATACCTGCGACACATCAGAACCAGGTGAACGAGATTCAAGTTACAGCGACCGTCTTAAACAGAAAAGCTTTACAAGGATATTTTTGAATTATCGTTACTAAACAAACATTAGCCCAACCCATGGGATTCTAAAGCAAAGAAAAATAATTGTTTTCCCTTCTTAACCTTGATTCTTGCTCATGTGCCCATTTATCATTATTATTCCGTTGGTTATACTTTAAAAAAACTAACCGTAATAGTTTCCTATGTTGCTATAGGATCATAAACAAGAGATGATCACTGTGTCTTCCAATAGTTGTTAATGTTAATTTTGAAATATAGGTCTTTCTGTTTGAAAGAGCCACACTGAGTGCATCGACCGGCAGTTCTGCTGCTGCTGGACTTTTGGGTTCTGCCGCCATCTTGCGAATGCACCACTGCCAAACACCAGAGCTGTGTTCTCTACCTGCCGTGCACTGTTCCACGCGCTTTCCATGTAAAAACTCCTGTGGTTCTCACAACAGCCGATGGGGCGGGTACTGTTATCATCACTTCCGGTTTCAGGGCAGGAAGCGGAGGACGGCGCTATCAGATAGGCGGTAGATGGCAGAGACAGTTGGCTCCATGGCCCCTACTTGTAAGGACGCTGCCGTCTGATCTCTGCCACAAGCGTCCCATGCACAAGGCTTCTTCCCACCTTGAGGGCCGTTGCCTTGGATAACATCCCAATGGCAAGTTTACTGAATTCCAGAAGAACGTGTTTGTGCTGTTGATCTCCACTGCTAAGCCACCTTCCAAAGGACTCCCTCATAATGTGCACTGTGCTAGTGAGGGAGTCCACCCATGGGGGCATTAAAACAACCACAGATCTTTGTATGGGCAATACAGATTCAGATTTGAGGAGATTCTGACACTAGAAACTACAACTGATAAGACCGTGGGAGGGTCCCAAGAGCCTCATATTTGGAAGGATCTTCGGGTAGACAGGCTGGCCCCTTGTGGGCAGGTGTGACCCACAAAGGGTCTCCAGACAAGTGGTGGAAGGCCTCTCAGGCTTTGTTGCTTGGGTTCTTGACCCCCTTGTAGCTGGGCTCTTTACGGCTCTGCATCCATCAGACTGAGGACAACCCCACCTCTGGCGTAAGCCTCCTCGTCAACTGTGATTCCCTAGGGAGAGCCACCAGTTTGCTGGAGAAACTCAGGAGTCGCCACTCTTCAGCTCAGCTGGCCGAGACCTCACTGGTAGGACACATTTCTTGCCATCCCGGCCTGCCCGTGTGACTTCCCAGATAATCAGGCACCCCAGACCACCGCTGACAGAGGTGGTGGTGGCTTGACTGCCCCCTCAGTTAGGAACTGCGATTATAAACCCACGGTTATTACGTGCAGACACCTGAGCTCTGGGTGCACTGAAGCCTTGTAAGTCTGATCAACCTCACTAATCAGAGCAGCCCGGGATCCTCCCCCACCCTGTGCACCAGGTAGGATGAGTCCTTGTCCCAGCATCAGTTGAAACACGCAGACCCACAGGTACTCTGGGAGTGGTGTGGAGGAAGGCCAGAGAAATAGAAATATTGACATTGGTTGATTATGCCCCCTACGTTTTCTGCTGGCTCTAGGACCCCTGCCTCACTGCAGAAGTCACCTTGTATTGATCAAGGAGGCTGTTTCTGGGCGATCCCATTTCCCACTCCCGAACTGCTTAGCGTGTACGGTTTGTTACAGATCTAAGGCCAAGCTTCCTCTTTGCAATGGAGAGGTAGGCGGGAAACACAGTACGAACACTGTTCCATAAAATCTTTGAAGGTACGCAAGAGGTGAGCAAGAAATTCTGCTTTGCTTTTGCCGAATACTCAATAAAGCTCACACTCTGCTTTAGACCCTCAAATAATTTATTCCAGCTGTTGGCTGGTGTTCCGAAGCCCCTGTGCCATCAACTTTTCTGCTGGCTGCTGAGTCCTGCTTGGTGTGCGCCTCGTGGGGGGCGGGCCGGGCACTCACTGCGGGGAGAGCCTGGCCGATGATTCCTGGCATGGGGTCAATCTCTGTGCAGGAATGTGCTCGAATTTTGGTTCCCGCTAACCGACTGATTCTGCAGCCTGACCCACAGAAAAGGAGCTAGGAGTAAATTCAGCTCTTATTTGTATCAATTTTTTTTTTTTTTTTTTGAAATATTACTCTTCCATGTTCTTACCGTGAACTGCCACTGGATAGCACTACGCACCCAAGTGCGGCCAGGAAGCAGCCCCCTTAGCAAGGTCCAGGGGTGGGGAACGGCAGCCGCAGAGGCCGGTGAAACACTGAGCTTAGGCTTCCTTAGGAATCTAAAAGAGCTGGTATGCGTGCTGATGCTACAACTCATAGTGTATTCAAGAATCAGTGTAAAGTAAGCACTCAAAAAATTCCTATTGAAGAGGGTCTATTCAATTACTTACATTAATTTGGAAAATACGGTTATGGTCTGGACCAAGAAAACGGCTTTTTTTGGATGTAACAGGTGACCAGTGAGCAGCTGCCCATCTCACCTTTCAATGAAGGGCAGTGTTGTTTTGGTCTGCATATGCTTTTCAACAGAGCGGGTCATGCTGCCAGGTCATAGATTTTTTTTTTTTTTTTTTTTAATGAGAGCAGTTTGAAAGTTTGAGGAGCTCATTCTCTAAGCTGTCAAAATAATCACGAGGCTCTAGGGTCCAGGGGACACCTCTGCATCTGATGTGGTCAGCAGGCCATGGGGCAGCCCCCCACCTGCCTGGCCCCTTCTCACCTCTGGAGGAGGTAACACCCTCACAGAGGCCCGCTGTGCCTGGAGGTGAGAAAGTAGGAACGAAAAGGTGTCCAGATGCCAATAATTAACAGCACATGCAAGCAGCAAAGAGGACACCTTGAGCTCCAGGCATGTATAATATTTCCAGGTTTTAAATTCAGAACATATGCACAGCAAAGGAAAAAAATCGCTCTAAATTTTGGGATTTTTTTGTTTTTAAAGTGGACATCTGTATGCAAAAGAAATGAAAAGCCATTCAGATGGAATTTATTACAAGAACTACTCCTATGTGGACTTGCTTTCAGAAGAAGCAAAATGTGTTGCCAAGAGGAACATAAAATAGTCGAAGAAGCTCTCACTGTCCTGAATGGCCATGGCCATGATGGCAATCATGGCCAGACAGCTATGTGCTAAGCTGACGGTTTCAAGCACACTTTTTATGTTTAGAGACATTTGAGAAAGGCAAGTAAGCATGAAACATGCTCATGAGTCCACTTAAAGTAAGGGGAGAACTTACTAGAAATTTTTTTAAAAGAAATTTAGAAAGAATTTTTGAAGTATTTTAAAGAATTTTAAAGAAATGATTTTAAAGAAAGTTGGCCTTTTCTGTTAGACTTGAACATTCAATCAGAAAAGCTATGGCTGTTTCAGAACCTGAGACATGTGTTTGGGGTTCTTGGGGGTTGTGACCCCCAGGGGTGTGTGACTATTTCAACAATTCTAAGATGCCTTTAAAATATATATATATATATATAAATATGCGGCTTGCAGAGGGACCCCAGCTGGAAGGAGGAGGCAGTGGGACTGAAATCCAACTCATGGTCCTAAACACAGTGCTCACAGCCTGGGTCCAACCAAAGGGTGTTTTGTGTTCTAATCTGTACAAAAGTGTCTCAGAGGCTCCTAACTTCCCTGAGCCTGCCCCACCCCCAAACCCAGTCCTCCTGCCCGCAAGACACACTGGCATGGCTCTCCCCCGACATTGACAGCACGTCCGTCCCTCACGCCATGCCTCCCCCCCCACCTGCAGGGTCTCCCTACACAACATACCCACTCGCAGCTTGAAGTCGTTGAAGGAGTGCTTGTTGATGGCGTCCAGTTTTGCCACCAGGGCAAAGGCAAACTCCACCATGGTGCCAAGGTGCAGGTACTGCCTCTCAGGCTCCTGAACAGAAACAAACCGGGGGGGGAGGTGGTCAGAGCTCGACGAGCAGGAGGATGGTCCCTGAGTCACAGGGCCGGGCTCCAGGCAGGAAGCATGCTCGAGGCGACAGCCGCAGCAGGAGTTCTGTGAGGACTACCCTCATCACCAGGAGGCCTGGTGCCCCACTTCATTTTTTGCGGCCGTGGGGAGACCTGAGACACTAGAAGACACGGAATACCCAGACAGAAACTGCCAACAGAAGATGCAGTGAGGAGAGCTGGCTCCTGGTTCTCCACTTGCCCCTCACACCCATCTCCCCCCTCCTCCGCTGGGCTCTGGCTTCCTGTTGGACTGACCAGTGGGAGGGGTCAGGGAGGGTCAGGGGGCGCCGGGGAGAGGGCCGGGGTCCATTCCTCCTCTTCCCCACTCCACACCCACCACAGCTCACCCCAGTTCTGGAAGTACCACATCTTCTTTTTGCCCCCATAGGAGAGGGGTGTTCTGTGTCCTCCCCAAATTCATAACCTCCGATACCTCAGAATTTTTATTTGGAGATTCTTACCTCCATCATTAAAGAGGGGATTAAGATTAAATTGGGTCATTAGATCACTCATCCAGTATGACTGGTGTCCTTATAAAAAGGAGATTAAGACTCAGACACAAGGAGAAGACAACATGGAAACACAGGGGGAAGACGCATCTACACAGAAAGGACAGAGGCCTCAGAAGAAACCAACCCCATCAGCGCCTCGACCTCTGACCTCCAGTCTCCAGAACCAGGAGACAACAGATTTCTGTTGTTTAAGCCTCTGTTACGGCAGCCCTAGCCAACGAATATGGGGGGGAAGGGGGGGCGACAATTTCCTGCCTTTACTGTCTGGGCGATTTATCATCCCTTGAGGAATAGTCATCATACATATAGAGCAGAAGAAAAGGACAAGTTCAAGGTTTCCAATGAAGGTAAGTGGAGATTTCTATCCTATTTACTATTAATTTATACTTTTATTTCTGTTACTCATTTACATTTACTATGATTTTCTGGCACCTATTATATTTGTAATTCCTTTTGAAGATCATCTTTCTAAAATTTCTATTTTTGGTTACATTTTAAACACAGATTCTTTATTAGTATATGTATATAATTCATAAAATGTATTTCCATGTCCTGAAGGTTCCTGCTGCCCCGATACTTGATTGGGTGCACTGGGGTGTGGGGTGACACTGGAGTCCCAGCCCCTTCCGGTGGGCCTGCCCACGCATCTGGGGCTTGTGGTTCCAAGGCATCCATCTCAGCACTAGAATCAGTGTGGTCTCTCATCTCCCTCACTAGTCTGTGAGCTCCCCAAGAGCAGAGACTGTCTTCTATTAATCCGTGCCTCCACAACATGGAAGTATGCGGTCAGGAGAAGCACCTGGCACCTGGTTATTGAGAGACGGCTCTTCAACTGCCTGTTGGGTAGCCAAGAAGAAATGTCTTGGAGGAACAAAGAGCATTGACAAGCTTTGGTGGGAGGTCAAAGCCAATGGATGCTCACTGGGGGGGCATACACCCAGGAGGGGCCATTCACACACCCACTGAAGTGGGAGAGAGCTCCAAGGGAATAAGAGCACACAGCGGGGACTGGGGGATCATCCTTACTCGGCTGGGGGAGAAAAGAGGGAACCAGTAAGGACACTGGGAATCCTTGCGAGATGAGCTGAAGAGGCGGGCCTTTGTGGAGCTCACACTGTTGACTTCCAGGACAAGTGTTCAGTCCCGCTGGGCCCCAGAGGAGCTCAATCAGAGATAAAGAGAGCTCTCCAGAGGGCCAAAGGGGAGGTCCTGGGTGAATGGGGAGGGGAGCGTCCTCCACACAGGGCGGAGATAAAAGCCAGCTCTGAGGCTCTCAGTAGAGGACAGTGGAGACAGTGGGCATATCCACCGTATTTGAGGTGACAGGGAGGTGGGGAAAGCCAAGGCCAAAGGAGAAAGGAAAACGTCAACGAGTTATTCCAGGAATCCACACAGCGTTTCAGTGACGGGAGTCAGGAAGGGTAGCACTAGGCAAGTCTCTCGACGTGGGCACTGCTGACATCTGGGCCAGATCATTCCTTGTCCTGGGGGCCGCCCTGCCCCGGCCTCCGCCCACAGATGCCAGGAGTGACAGGACAGCCGCCTCCCAGGAATGACAACCAAAAATGTCTCCAGGCGATGCCCCAATGTCCCCTCGGGGGCAAAACGCCTCTCCTCCTGAGACCACTGCGCTCAGGAATACAAACGTGAGCAGGGAAGAGACAGTACATTTCCGGTTCAGAGAGGAAGTTCTTCCTCTCCTCATATAAATTCTATCATTCTAGAGAAAGACCAACGAAATGTTACTGGCGCCATAAATCCTACACTTCAAATTGTGCGAGAAAATCCAAACAACTTAAACAGTTGGAACTACAGGACAGACTGTCAGCTAATGTCGGAGAAAATGCAGAGTCATTTCTTAAGACAGCATTGCTCTTCCATCAGAGGTCCCTAATATTTCCTGTCTCAGGACCCCTGGGGCAGGTGTGATTTGGAGGTTCATGCATCCTCTGGAAACATCGTGCTCCTGAACAGGGAGCACGAACTGTGAAATCAACAGGCAGAATCCCATGTCACTAACATCACAACTGTCCCAGCAAGGAGCACAGATCTGCCAGGGGGTGGAAATGGTTTGCTTCCTACCGAACCATGACACAGCGAATGAGCTTCCCTCCCTGATAAATTATCACCCGATCTGTTTTCATGCAGTGGGCTTAAGCTGGAGGTTTACATGACCTCAGTGATGAATGAAGAGACTGAGTTCTGGGAGTGGGGTTTAAATCCAACGTCAGTAACTCACTGGGGCTTAGTAAGTCCTGGAGAAAATTATGCTCAGTCTTTAGAAGAGCTCAGTTCATTTCAAAAAGTCCTTATAACTGAGTTTTTGATAAATATTTGATGACAGTGTAAAGCAGCTCTTTCTCCCACAATCCAAATGATTTCTGTTAGAGGTCTCCAAATATTTAACCGACTTCCAGTGACACGGCGAGCAGACGCATTCTGAGCCCCGGAACACATCTTGGAAGCTGTTTGCTTTGGAAATTCCGCCAGCGAGGAACGCTGCTTGAAGGAAATGTATGTTTATCGAGGTCATTTTATAACCCAAGTGACTGGTAAACACCGAGATAATTCTTTAGGCTGAAATTAACATACCCCTCCTCTCTTGACCTCTCCTCTTTCCTCCTTGCCTTTCTTCCCACCCATCAAATATTCGCTGAGCACCTGCTGTGTCGGCATCTGTCTGATGCTGAAGGTTTAGAACTGCTGCCTAGGAGCATTCTCCCCTGGGAGATCCGATGCACCCTCACAGTTCTCTGAAGGGAAGGTCTTCTCTCTCCCAGGTGAGCTGATCATCACAGGCTGAAGATCGGCTCTCACGTGGTGGCTCCGAACACCTGAGTGTCAGGTACCTGTCGGAGGGCACGACTGGGACTCAGAACTTCCCAGTGTTAACCAAAACTCCAAGGCATGAAAAAATACTTATGGAGAACGGCCTGACTGCTAGGCCATCTGTGGTCCCCTCTAAATCCCCTGAACTTGGATTCAGGTGGGCTCTCACCCTTTTCCACCGATCTCACTTTACAGAGAAAGTATTTTATTAAAATGCACATTTCGGGATGTTCCGGCAGGCATGCCTCCCACCCCCACCCTCACATTTTAAACCATTTTCCAAGAGGAAGTTAGTTACCAAGCACATGGCTCACTGTGGACCCATCGTCATGGTCATGAGGGCTCGTACTCGACAGGCCTGGTTTTTAGAAATATTAACGAATGAGGGACACAATCGTCCCTATGAACACTGGGACACCGTACACGTGCTGGCTCCTGGACATTTCCGAACAATTATAGCAACACTGTGTGCATGTATGTATTTAATCCTCACGGTGAGTCCCATGAAGGACTTCCTGTCTTCATCCCCATTATGCAGATGGGGAAAGGGAGACCCCGGATTGTTAAAAACTTGTGTAAGTGGCAAACCAGGTGTCTGACTCCAGGTCCCGTCTTAGCTGCCATCTTGCCCCCCTCCTTGCGCGCGTCTAGAACGTGTTTGGACCTTGGCTGTTTGCATTTTGTGTATCGTCCTCAACTTCGCATCTCGTCTTTGACTTTCCTTCCACTTTAGTTTATTAATTGTTAAACCTTTCGCATTGCATTCATTTTTGTGAGCTTCCTCAGGGACAGATTTACGTGAAATATGCACAAACAGGTAGACAAATAGGTAATCGGTTTTCCTTGATCATCTTGCTGGTAAATGGTGGCAGGGGGGTTGGATGATGAGTCTAAGAGATACTCAGCTGATGGGGAGCCATCCCCAGGAACTGCTCATTAATGGCTCTGGAACTAGCCATGTGGTTGGCTGGAATTGTACTTGGATATCTTAGTGTACACTCAAACTGTATCTAAAACTAATATTATTATTTTACCTTCCACAAGGCAGCTCTCACTCTTGACTCTTGTGCTTTGCTAATGGCATCATCAATTGCAAATCCCTGTATCAGAAGCCTGAGATGCTGGCAGCCTGGCCTTCTGTGCCCCCTCCCCCCCACCCCTCAGCTCCTAAGTCCGCCTCCCATGGGTTTGCTTCTGCCGCTCACTTCTTCCTTTACTTTCCCAGGACCGTGGTTTACACTCTGACCACTACTGGCCTGAAGGCAGGAAGTTCCCCCAAATACATGCCGAGAGCTTTGAGTCAGGCAACCTTGGGTTCAGCCCCAGGTCCTATAACCATCAGCTGTGTGGCCTGGGCTGAGTCACTTAAATTCTCGGGGCACCAGTTTCCTCATCTGTGATGGACGATAACCGCCTATCCCCCAGGGTTGTGGGCAGGGTGAAATGAGGCGGTGAAGTGAATTCAGCCTGTATCCCTGGGGCTCAGGATTTATTCCGTTCCTTTAATGATGGTTTAGAGAAGCATGTCACTCTGCTTGATGTGAAAAGCAGCTAGGAGGAAAATGTCAGTCAGAAACTGTCTCAGGCCCCAGTTTAGAACTTTCTCCCTGTGCACACATGGAGCATCCTACAGAGATGTACGGCTTTGACAATGACCCGAGTGTCTGACATTTCCTGAGTCTTCGAGATTCGCAGTGTATTTCGTGAAGAGTAATGGTCTTGTTTCCTTCAGTCTTCAGCTTCCCGTCAGGAGCATGAAAGTAGGAAGACATTTCTCTCTGCTTACAACACATCATGGGAGCTCTGGTGTTTGTATAAAAATGCACAGCAGAGACCTGAACTATTTTCTCCTTTTCCAGTAAAAGGAACTATGGTTATTCGTTTCAAACTGTGCTTTAGCTACTATGAAACCGTGGCAGAAGGTCTCAGTGACTCCTCACTTCTTCCCTAGTCAATCTGGCAGAGTCCCTCTGCTATGCACTGAATGTTTGTGTCCCCTCAAAATGTATATGTTGAAGCCTGATCCCCAATGTGATGGATTAGGAGGTGGGGCCTTTGGGAGGTAGTTAGGTCACATGGGGGAGCCCTTATGATGGGGTTAGTGCCCTTACCAGGAGGGGCTGGGCAGAGCTTGCTTCCTCTCCCTGCCTTCCACCAGGTGACACACAGCAAGGAGACACCATTGGCAAACCAGCAGGAGGGTCCTCACCAGACACCCGATCTGCTGGTACCTTGGCCTCGGATAGACCAGCCTCCAGAACTGTGAGAAATAAATGTTGTTTGTCACCCAGTCTCTGGCAGTTTGTTAGGGCAGCTAAGATTGCCTCCAATATTCCATGTTCCCCCCACTGAAACTTTTCTCAGTCGCCTTTCCAGGACTGTGAACTCCGGAGGGCGGTCATGAGCAGGTACCTGGCACCTGCCATGGTGGGGAAAGAAAACATCTGCCAGATGTCCTACTAGCTAAATAAAATCTAGAACAGCCGAGCCAGAGATGGAGCCATTAACCCGAGTCCGTGAGTGCGGATGGGAAATGCTTATTGCTCATTGCTTTGCTGGAAGCTCAGTTTCGCTAATACACAGGGTGAGCGAGTATAGGAATCTCGTGGGTGGGTCCCATGGAGCCTGGGATCTGATCTGGGGGACAGAGGGAGCCGAATAAAGGAGAAACGTTTGTGCTAGTTGGCAGTGGTGTCTCTACAGGGCAGACTCGGCAGGAACTGGATGGAGCAAAAGACGGTGCTTAGTAACGACCCTCAAGCTACAGCCCTGGGTCTGCTGGTGCATTTGTTTGGATATAATAAATAAAACAAACTACTACATTTACTTTTAAATGCTTTTAAAATCAGGTAATTTTCACGTAAAACTAATAAATAATTAAACAGAATAATTAAAAAGAGAATAAGACTCCAAAAGCCATGTAACATTTTAAAAAGCACTAGTCCTCCTACCACGGTGAAGAGTAAGATCTTCCCAGCACCTCCTGCCTCTCTGCTTCTTCCCTCCCCCTGCTTTTTCTGGTTCCACAAAAT